TAAATCCAAGCTATTGTGACACCAGATGTGTTTGGTGGCACTGACTGGGGAAATGGGCACAGTATGCACTGTGAGCCTGACACAGAAGCTGGCAGCAGTGGCAGACAACTGACTGCTATTCAATCTATAACAGTGAAAAAAGTTTTTTGTTTTTAAATCCAAGCTATTGTGACACAAGATGTAATTGGTGGCACTGACTGGGGAAATGGGCACTGTGAGCCTGACACAGAAGCTGGCAGCAGTGGCAGACAACTAAGTGCATTTACATTAGATAGAAAAAAAAAATCCAAAAAAAAGCATACCCTTATCCCTAACCTAGCTATGCTTTTCCCTATCTTATGAACAGCAGCTACACTTTCCCTCCTCTTACTAAGCATGCAGCTTGGGAATGAATCTAAAATGGATGCTGTCCAGTAGGTGGGAGGGTCTGCTAGGGAGGCTGTGCTGCTAATTGGCTGGAATGTGTCTGCTGACTGTGAGGTACAGGGTCAAAGTTTACTCAATGATGACGAATAGGGGGCGGGTCGAACCGCGCATATGTTCGCCCGCTGCGGCGAACGCGAACATGCTATGTTCGCCAGGAACCGTTCGCCGGCGAACCGTTCGGTACATCACTAATGTTAAGGCACAATATGCACCTTATGAGATACCCTGGAGTGTCTACCTTTACAAATGGTAGGCCTTTGTGGGGGTTTTTTGAACAGTCAAACTGTTATAATACCCCAAATGGAAGCTAAGGCTCATTAAATCCATCTCTCAAAATTCTACTGTGAATACTGAAAAGGACAGGTTTCCTATATGGCACTGTAGCTTCACGAAATAGTGCTAAAGACATACAATGGGGGTGTCCTTTTACTCAGAAGACTTAGCTGAGCATAATTTGGGAGGTTTGAACTTAGTGGCACATATGAAATATACAAAACGCCCAGCAAAAATGCAATCCGTATGTAAAAAATGCACAAAATTATTTTTTATTATTATTATTTTTCGCGAACTTCCGCAAATGTTCGCGAACGGGCGAACCGGGCGTACTGCCATAGACTTCAATAGGCAGGCGGATTTTAAAACCCACAGGGACTCTTTCTGGCCACAATAGTGATGGAAAAGTTGTTTCAAGGGGACTAACACCTGGACTGTGGCATGCCGGAGGGGGATCCATGGCAAAACTCCCATGGAAAATTACATAGTTGATGCAGAGTCTGGTTTTAATCCATAAAGGGCATAAATCACCTAACATTCCTAAATTGTTTGGAATAGCGTGCTTTAAAACATCAGGTATGATGTTGTATCGATCAGGTAGTGTAAGGGTTACGCCCGCTTCACAGTGACAGACCAAACTCCCCGTTTAACGCACCGCAAACAACCGCAAACAGTCCATTTGCACAACCGCAAACTCCCCATTTGCACAAGGTTGGATACCAAGCTAGCCATGTCCAGTTCCTTGTCCTCACTGATGTCATTGAAGGTCTCTTCCTCCACCCAGCCACGTACAACACCAAGGGTCCCAAAAAGGTGACAACAAGCCCCCTGGGACGCCTGCTGTGTTTGGTCTTCCACCTCCTCAAAGCCACCTTCCTCCTCTGACTCCTCTTCTTCAGACTCCTCTCTCTGCATTGCCTCTCTCTGCGTTATTATAAGGTGTGTTAAGTAGTACTATTCCTATCAGTTTAATCCCTGTTACGTCCCCTATCAGGGGACGTGTATATGGCATCGATTTTAGGAACCGGGAGATGGAAAAAGATGCTTGGTCGGTCCTCCTACTTCAAATTTGGGGCACTGCTCGTGCAATCTAATGTGCCCCTAGATAGGAGTGGTGTGTTAAGTAGTACTATTCTTATCAGTTTAATCCCAATGTCAGGACTACTATTGTGGTCCAGCACGCAGAAACTATGTAAACATATACATAGGCAAGAAAAGGAAAATAAAGGACAGAGCGTAAACCGGACCTTAGAATGACCGGACTAATATGCTAGAGACAGAGAATGGTCAAAGGGAAAGCCGAGGTCAAGGAAGCCAGAAAATACACAATACCGTTTACACAAGCCAAGTCACGGAAACCAGAATTCAGAATAACCAGGGAAAAGCCAAGGTGCGTCAAGGTTCCGAGCGGAAGCTGTAGAAGATTGGGTGTCCTGTGTTAGCCAGTCAACTATGTCCTCAGAACTTTTCGAGTTCAAGGTACGTGGCCTCTGAACACTGGGCATTATTCTAGGGCCAAAGGGAATCACAGCACCATGACCACGAAGGCCCCTTCGGGTTGGCCTGCCTCTGCCCGTCATTTTTTTTTTCGATTAGTGGGACTACGCGTGCAAGCTACTGTGACAACAGATATGAGTGGCACTGTGCAGTGGTAGAAGTTGGCAGAGTAGACGCTGTAGGCCTGACACACACGCTTGCAGACAACTAACTGCTATTCAATCTATTACAGTCAAAAAAAATTTTTATTTTTTTTTAAATGTACACTACTGTTACATCAGATATGAGTTGCACTGGTGTGACACTGTGCCCTGCCAGGCCCTGAAACGCACACGTGTGAAGGAAACTGACTGCTATTATATTACAGTCCAAAAAGTTGTTTTTTTTGTTAAATGCAAGCTATTGTGACACCGGATATGAGTGGTGGTACTGGGCAAGTGGGCACAGTATACGCTGTGAGTTTGACACACACGCTGGCAGACAACTAACTGCTATTCAATCTATTACAGTCAAAATTTTATTTTTATTTTTAAAATGTACACTACTGTTACACCACTGGTGTGACACTGTGCCCTGGCGTGACACTGTGCCCTGGCAGGCCCTGAAACGCACACGCGTGAAGGAAACTGACTGCTATTATATTACAGTCCAAAAAGTTTTGTTTTTTTTAAATGCAAGCTATTGTGACACCAGTGAGTGAGTGGTGGCACTGGGCAGGCCCTGAAACACACACTCGTGAAGGAAACTGACTGCTATTATATTATGTTTTTTTTAAATGCAAGCTATTGTGACACCTAGAGGCGGCTCTAGACTTTATGAGGCCTTAGGCGAAACTCAAACATGAGGCCCCACTAACAAAAAAGTGTCACATATACACATTGATGCACAGTTTACCTGTGTATGTGCCTGAGAGTGTGTCTGACAGAGTATCCTTGTGTGTGAATGTATGTCTCTGTGAGCATGTTTGCGTTTTTGTCTGAGACCCTATGTGTATGGGGTAGCTGCTTGAAGTGTGTTGTGTGTATGGGGGGGGTGATGGTGAGAAGGAGAGGAGGGTGATGGTGAGAGGCGGGTGATGGTGACAGGGAGGTGATGGTGTGGGGGGTGATGGTAATGTGAGAGTGAGGGGGGTAACATGAGAAGGAGAAAGGGGTAATGTGAGAAGGAGGAGTGGGGGTAATGTGAGAAGGAGGGAGGGGTAATGTGAGGAGGGTGAGAGTGAGAAGGAAGGGGGCGATGGTGAGGGGGTGATACTGAGGGGTGGTGGGGGTGGTGAGTGGATGATGCTGAGGGTGGTGGGGGGTGAGGGTGGGGGGTGGTGATGCTGAGGGTGGTGGGGGGTGGTGTTGGGGGGTGGTGATGCTGAGGGTGGTGGGGGCTGGTGATGCTGAGGGTGGTGGGGGGAAGCTGAGGGTGGTTGGGGGTGGTGATGCTGAGGGTGCTGATGCTGAGGGTGGTGTGGGGGTAGTGA